TAATAATTATCATTATAACGACAACGACAACAACGACGACAACAACAACAATAATAACAACAACAAAACAACAACAATAACAACAACTACAACAACAACAACAATAATAACTTAGTTCAGTCTTACCGTGGAGAATACAGCGCTCCAGGCTTTGGACTTGGAATCCCTCTGATCTTCGTAGTACCCATCCAGTGTCTTCTCCAGCCCTTCTTTTATTTTGTCTTCGGCCTAAAATGAATTGAAAAAAATGTAGATTTAAAAAAAAAGGAAATAGTATGCTTAGTTTAGTAAGAGTTTTACGGCGCTTGCAATTATTACATAGGTCATCTGAGCGCGAGAAACACAAGTTGTTTGCATTCGCAACAGTTCACAGAATAGCTTGATTTCGTTTAATGGTCTGAAATAGTAATTTATTTCTTAGGCTTGGTAAGAGTTCCAAGGCACTTGCAATACACTTAGTTCATATCATAATGAAAGAAAAAACAACGTGAAATAATATTCTACATTTTTTAAAAGTTTTAGCCAGAGTTTTACGGCATTTGTAACACATTTAGGTCACTTTATAATTACAAAAAAGTAAAATAATATTATTTATAGTTTTTAGTTTAAGTAAGAGTTTTGCGGCACTTGCAACACTCTAAAGTGATAAAAGTACCCGAAGATTAGAGGTTGTGTTTCAAGAGAGTAATAAACACAAAAAAGAAAGAGGAGATACAAGAACGACAGATGTTTGTAAGGAACAAACCACACGAGAGCACCCGCTAAAGATACTATTCTTAGATGGCATGGGTTGTCTTTAGTTGCCTTCAACCACCCAATAAACATATTCTTAGATTGTACGTTTTCGCTTTGCCTGCAAATAATCACCCCAAAAAAAACCCCATAATATTCTTAGATTTTGCGTGTTGTCTTTAGTTGTTTTCAACCACCCAAAAACCTCTTAGATAATTTGTTTTAGCTTTAGCTGCGTCCATCAACCAGTAAACATATTCTCAGTTGGTATGTTTTATTTTTAGTTTCACTCAACCACCTAAAAAACATAATATTCTTAAATTGTATGTGTTGTCTTCAGCTGTATTCAACAATACAGTACACATTATGTTCTCAGATGGTATGTATCATCTTTATTTGCGTTCAACCATACAGAAAAAATCTAAGATGGATATGTTTTAGTTTCAACTGCATATATTCATCCAGTTTCTTAGTTGGTATATTATAGCTTTAGCTGCATACAATAACCTAGATCTACCTAGTTTTCATAATATTCATAAATCATAATAATATATTATAATGTCTTTAGTTGCGTTCAACCAGCCCGTACATGACACTATGAAAGGACACGTTAGACGCGTGATCCCTGCAGAGACTTACGTCACTTCCGTTGGCGGCTACGTATCCAACAATGGCGATCTGACCAATGAGGAGGAGGAGGACGACGATGGCGTACTGAGGAGGAGAGAGAAGAACGTGTCACGTGACGTGATTGTGTGTGTGTGTGTGTGTGTGTGTGTGTGTGTGTGTGTG